TATTGCTATTATCATATCCCTTTCCTATCCTAAAGTCCTTTAAAGTGAATATTAGATCCTATGATTGTACTGTTAGAACTTTTTTCTTAGGGATCGTTATTTTTTCAGAAAATATGTTGCGGCTCTGAAAAGAGCTCTCCTTTCTCTCCATATTAGGCAATATTTATAGATGTTAGGGCAACTCTCCCGTACATTGACGAAATTGAAATCTAATTGTTGTTTTGAAATGCCATAGTATGGAGAAGTTTTTCATTGCTATGGAGACCTTATACGCCTACTATTTTTTTGTACAGGTGAATATTTTGTAAAATTTCTTTTAACAGACAACTGAAGATTAGCCGATTGCTGTACCTACATTAACTGGACCACTCATAGCTTTTTTCCAGCGACACGTCACTTGGGTACATAATGTCTTGTTATTCTGATAACGAGAGACAACTTTAGAAAAAATAGTGCAGCCTCAAGAGTAGCTATCTTCCACAAATTCTTAAAAATGACGATAACTCAAAGTGGCTCCCCACTATCACCTCCCCTCATTTGCTCCATGACCTTTGGATCACCCTGTATACGTGTTTGTAACTTATATCTACTTATTCACAATACCGACATTTTGCTGTTTTATATTTGTCCATGTTAAACCCAAGTACAAGTTCTTATGGATATATTATGTTTATTGTTCAAATAACAGTTTTTTACGTTATTGCGAGAATCATTGTTATTATTTCAATAGCTTGCACGCAAAGGCGTGTTGATTTAAGGTGAAATACCAAACTCTGCATAATTGCAATCGTTTAGTAGTAAAAATAGCTTACATCATTTAAGTACATCGTCAACAAAAAACCACAAACGCTTTCGAAGAATTTGATGGCAATACTATATGTTCTATATCTACACTTGAATTAGCTTCTTAAGCAATAGTGTATGTATGCTCACAGCGTTAACAATATCAATTAATTTAGGTATTGTGAATCTTGATAAAACGCTCCTGGCGCTTTTAGATAAACAATCTCCATATATTAAAAAGATCATTGATACATCACATTTGGACTAGATGCTCAGAAATAAAGGATTTTCCATTAAGGACTTGACAACTTTCTTTTTAAATAAAACGCAAACCATTTGAGATAACTCGAAAATTTTATTATTAGGTTTAAGTATACTCAAAACATTTATATATGGAAGTTGACCTCGTTCATATGTCCACCACGGGCACGTTGTCAGCGATCGACTCGTCGAACCCAATTTTCAATGACTCGGCCACATATTTCAACCATCTGAAGTGATTTGGCAACGTAGCATACGCCCACAAAAGAATTTTCGTTCCATCTTTCTACACAGATACTGCAACCTTCGGCCATCTGTCAAAAGGTTCATCTTACTCATTATTTGATGCCCACCATTTTGTGTAATCATCAACTGGCTTCACGATGTAATGCTTAACTTTCATTTTATAAAAAAAATCTGTTTTTAACTTGTTCTTATCATACAGCTGTGTGTATTTTATATAATTTTGACCATTGTACCATTTATCCAGCTTTCACCATGTTACTGGGTTTTTCCCTCATCCTTAACGTAAACAACAATTAGCAACATCCTCACATACTACTGTAAGTTAATTTAAATTCATTTTACACTATTGTTGCTAGGTACTGTTATCAGCGTAATTGCAGCTCCTGATGATGATGGCAAAGACCATTGAAAGCTAGAGAGAATAAAAAAAGTATAAAGCGTCCTCCTTGCTTAAGTGTTGTCGAAGTACCGAACAAAAGGCGGAAGCTTTAATTTTTCACCTATATATATATATAATACAATTAATTGTTAATAGGGAAATTGGCAAACTTTTTTAGGCTTTAGTAAACTCTTTTAACGGTAACCTCAAGCTTTCGGCAAATCTATATGGAGCCTTCTTCAGGAGCTGAAAACTCAATTATGATGCTATCAACCAATACAAATATAAAACCAACCGGACGGGCACATTGGGCTTATTGATAAATAAACCATCGTTAGGTGTTAATACTATATATCAATACACCCGAACACATTAAAAATTAACGAAAAACACTTTTGGGGACAAAAACCGGAACGTTCCTTCTAGCCTGATACATCTGCTTCACGTGTAGAAGATCAGCGGACCGGAAGAATAATGCGTTGACGGCTATCAGGTGAAAGAATGTGGAACGTCCCTTCTAGCCTGATACATCTGCTTCACGTGGAGAAGATCAGCGGACCGGAAGAATGATGCGTGGACGGCTGTCAGGTGAAAGAATGTGGAACTGTAACATCATTGCCAAATTTCAGGTGTAATATATACGAGGGACGCTCGTTAACACCTCATTCTAATTACCAAATTTCTGATCTTATAAGGGTGCAGGCCAAGATCTCTTCGCAAAATTCGCCATACTGTGGTCCGAGCGTTGTCCAATTATTGAGAACGCCGTGGAATCGACGTGTTGTTCGTTTGTGACGGAAGCTTGAACGGCAGCAATATTCTCGGCACTTGCACCAGCTCGTTGTCGCACTGGCACGGGAACATCCAGCAGCGAATATATGAACTCATTTTTTTTACTAGACTATGAATTGCTCGTCTACTGAGACGACAATTATGATCAAAAATTGCCGTTTACGCTCTTAAAGTTGCAGTCACCGGCTCGAAATTTCGGTAGTAAATTTTAATTAACTGTAAGCGTAGTTCGTTTCACCATGATGAAAATGTTTTCTTTACTGAATGTTTTGACATTGACAGTTCGGTAATTGATTTAAAGGTGCGTTCACAGTGAAAGTTCAAAGTTATCAAGCTCCTGTTGGAAAATCCGATGCTAATATAACAATAAAAATAGATGTCTTTATTTTATTTACAATAACATTGTAATGAAACTAAAATGGCGAAATTTAGCGTTTGCTACTCTTACACTTAACCGTAAAAGTCACTAGCTGATGTTAATAATAACTAAACATTATTCACAGCAAATTAAAATTTTTAGTAATAAATTATTGCAGTAAAGCCAAGTACGCCAAAAAAAGTAGAAAAGCAAAGGAATAGCCAGGAAAGTAAAAAAAACATGATTGTGTGATCAAGTCACTGAAGTAATGATAATTTCACTTGTTGTGAAGAAGCTGGTATTGAATACGATTTATACAATTTTGGCAAGGGATTAAGGTGGCAAAATTGTAGGAGAAACTGAGTTGAAATAGGGTTGTTGAATACTGAGGTATCCTGCTAATTTTATCTGCAAATGGTCTAGAACGAATATCATTGTTAAATAAATTTTTTTCTCAAGTAAGGCGGTTGGACGTAATCAATAATTTATGGATAAGAACTGAGTAGTGACATTTAAACCAAATCATTTATTTTCAACCAACGTATCTTGCTGATACGTCATCAAATTTGCGGAGACCGAAAATAAAACAAGCACAATTATTTTGGTTGATTTGAATCAGGTTTTAGGCGCGTATCGTCAGTCGTCCCTACATTTGCAGGGCGCCTTTATGGCCTTCTTGATTGTCATAGTTTTCTACAACTCCGTGTCAGCGCTCTATTTTGAGGTTATATCACAAACATCTATTTGCATCAAATTGTGCTTGCTTTTGAGTTATATCATGTTTTATCAGTCTGAAATATCCTACAATTTAAAAAGAAAACATATCTTCCCAATAGGAGAGCGCTGACGCTGACACGGGACAAGTGTAATCTAGAAATTTTTGAAGGAGAGAAAGAAGTATGACAATCAAGGAGGCCATAAACGCGCCCTACAATTGTAGAGACGACTGACGGTACGGACCTTAGATGTAGCTGTCTAAGCATCAATAGTATACAGTAATTTAGAACAGATACGACCAAGGACTCATTTTTACGTAACTTGAAATTTAGTAGATATCTGTTTGCAATAACAGTATGCAGCTTTACATACCTTTGACATATTCGATAGATCTTAATTTTATGTCAAAAACAACACTAAGAATTTCCGCAGATTCTAAACTCCTGATTACTTATTCGGACTTTCAAGAGTGACGTTTTTTCTTAGCATAAAATAATAACATTTTAGACCTTTGAGGGTTAACAGATAATTATGATTAGGCGAATTTATTAACATCATTTTCGACACTCTGGTGATCAAAATAATGTAACAATTTATTGTGTATTGTCTGCGGAAGGTGGGATTTGTGAATTACCAATTCATGCCAAAAGTAAATATCACAAATAATAACGGTCCTAACACAGACACTTGAGGTAAGCCTCAAGGGGTTGCAGTCACATGAGAAAATATTCGATCAATGCAAACACATTGAGTCCTTTATTCAAGATAACTTCTGAAAAATGAAAAGAGCTAAGGTATGTATGTATATTAATTTAGCCCAAACCGCATGACGAATAATAGTCAGTTTTCTCTATTACATAATGTAACAATTTTCGATTGCTGAATAATTTATTACGTTTGAGTCAGTATTTCAAACAGACGCAGATGATATTTTATTTAGTGATACTGTCTCTACGTGACTAAGAAAATAGCACTTTATCGATTTCAAGTTTTTCTTTCAAAGACCAGTACTTCTACAGTATAAAAAAAATATGCAATTTTACGCAAATTATCGAATTTATTTCAAAGTGAGCGTTACTACAAGTGATTGTTGTTGGACGGAAAATACATTTCCGATTGTAGAGATTAAGTGCGTAAGGAGAGGCAAAGGTTACAATATAAACTTTCCCTCTTGATATGACTAAAAAATGACTAGGCACTCGATAGAACATTCCCGGCTAAGGACTTCTTACAAAAACCAAATGTGTTGACTTAGATGTAGGATGCTTTTGTAGCACGTTGAGCGATTATGCAGAAGTATAAGTAGTAAAAATTGTAGATTTTCAGCAATACTTGATACTAATAGACCATACGATAATATGAGCTTTGTAGTTGATGTAATAGTTATGTTCGGTATGTACACAATGAACTTGTTCATCCATATTGGTCCCAGATTAAAATTGTTCTGCAGAATGGTACACATACCTTTGAACCAAGAAGTGGAAGATGACTTCCTAACACTACCTCCAGAAGAGCAGCTGAATAGGTCCACGATCGTATCAAGCATCCTCAACGGAGCTGCACGTACACTAAACTAACGTTAGTACAGTGTTATAGGGGCAGTTTGCCAATATTACTCGCTATTTTTGGGCCACGCATGGCGCCGGCCTGATAGGAATCTGAAGCGGCAAGGTCACGTGCTAATTGGCAGCTGTTTTCAAAATAATCGCGGGATTGCTGCGTTGTAGGTGGTTGTCTAGTTAACACCATTTCAGAAAAAGTGGTGTGAGTTATCAGTGACTCTTTTTATGGTGGCGGTCAAGCAGGTTAAGTTTCACTAATCGCGCATAGTTTGTACCGGGTACGTACACTAGGCATAGTCACCATTTAGGATAATCGCAGCTGACATGCTCAAATCCATACGAGCCCCTTCCCACTTCAGTTGGCCCAATTCAAGATTTGTACCAAAATATGCCTTTATAAACTAAACATGACGAAACTATTTACTTCTAAAACTATTTATTTTCTCTTCTTGTTTGCGCTGCCATTATATACCTTATAAGGAGTTAAGTAGTTTTAGATACTTATTTCGCCATAGTATTCACTGTTCCCCTTTTTCTAACTATTTGGTCTTGTAATAAATCATTTTTTTCTTAAATTCCATGTGATTTTATTTTTCATCACTTTAATATAACACGGACGTAACTAAGTCTTTATTCCATGAATTACGACCGTTCAATTTCACAAAATGACGTATCTACTTACTCTTTTTGGAAATTTCGAACACATAAAATCATAAATGGGTTAATCGCTGCTTTTGAAAAGCTAGTAAACATGGGCAGATATACCCACAAATTAGATTATGTAGCAATAATACCTTTTTGTCAGCAACAACTCAAATCTCGTGAAAATATTCAAAACGCTCTTCTGTAAAATTGGAAAAGATGTTATACGCCATTTCGTGTTATGAACGACGATCTGAGGAGCGCTCATTGGGAGTTTTGCTCAGGGAACAAAGTACGCCAAATACTGCATTTTACTGCAAAAACTTTAGTTTTGACCGTGATCAATACGCATAAAGTTTTATGAGGCTGTCCACAAAATTGCCTAGTGTTTATAATGCTCGACCATTTCACCCTATAATTTTCCTTTCGCGACTTTCCCCATGCTGACAAAATATGCAAAGCTTTAAGATGCAGTTTAGCTACAAACTTAAAGGCTTGAGAAGCCTTGTTATCGCAGAATCTAAATCTCTGGTAATCGCGACAGAATTTTAAATTATGGTTTTATAAAGGCAATATAAACCTAAGTGCTGAAGCTGTCTGCATGCAAAGCAAAATGGTTTGCATCTTATACTGTTCAACAAGCTTTGTTATTGGCTAGTTAGTGATATAGTGGAAACACAGGTTTTAATATCCCCCGCTCAGGTAGTCGTTATTGTGTGACATTTTACTGTGATTTTCTCCAAGCCTTTCGTTAATAGGATGTGTAATGTGTATACTATCCAATCATATTGGCAACTTCGACCTGTTCCATGACACTGAATTTCGCGTCGTCGAACTTTACCTTAAAGAAGTTGTAAGCTGGTTAATTGTTGTTGACTATTTACTCATATATTATTATTCTCAAGTATTTATATGCTTAGTATGCTTTAGAATGATATTTCCTGTTATTGGATGTATCCGCCTCCTTTAACTAAAATAAGTTTCCAGAATAAGTCGTATGTCATCTCGCTTTCCACTGAAGCTCAATTCATTCAGTATTCCTAGTTAATAAAGCTACGTAGCAATGAAATATGGTCTTTAACAAGTAATGATTTCTGTGAATATGAAAATAATAATAAGAAAACAACCCTGATCGACATCGCCATACCAAACAATCACAACTTGCATACAAAGTATAATGAAAAAATCGCGAAGCATAGAGAGCTCGAAGTTCAAATCAAACAACAATGGAAGATACTATCCCAATCACTCTATCATCAACCGGAGTAATCGCAAGAACGCTGCTGGAGAATATCAAGAAAATGGATCTCAATGACACCATTTACAAGAAGTTGCAGACAGAAGTTTTATTGGCAACTGCTCGTACAGTTCGGAAGTTTCTGGGAAATTTGAAAAGGCACGTCCTTACGTAACAAGCTGCGATAAAACTCATACTCTTTTATGTCGGATGCATCTGGGATGAGTGAATGATACCCCAATGAGGAGAAAAATGCCACGTGGCTAATAAAATAATAATAATAATGGTAATGTGGCGCCACATTCTATAAACATCACTCGAGATGGGCCAGATACTACCAGCGTAAACTGTGAAAACCTAGGATAGTAATACGTAATAATCAACGTCAATCAAAGTCTCTCTTTATCTAATATTAATGCTATGCATATTTCTTCTACGTATGAATTTGGTTACTGAGTATGACGGTCTTTTTGGATAAAGAACCCTATGACTCAGACTTAGGAGCTGGCATTTATATATTTTATCAATTTTCAACCATCTGAGGTAATCAATGGCCTTCGAAATATGATCATATCTTCTGAGATCATTTACAAGTTTGCAATATATATTCATAATACTTTGAATACGATTTCTTGTTTCAATATCTAAACAGAGATAGCAAACCATTAAGCAGTATAACATTTTTTAAAACAAGAAAGGTTCAGACGATTACTTTCTCGCAGATTTATGTAATATAGCCTAATTAATTTTTATTCATCATCCGTTATAATATCTAAGTTCTTCCAGTGATCCACAGGTACCTTTTACATTTGTCTCCTTGTTTAAAGCACTGCTTTTTGATTTATTTGCATATACTAACATATTTTTCCTTGAAGGGTTAGAACGAAGATTATGACTACTGCTGAAACTTTCAATTTAGACAAGTTCCTGATCCATTTTATTATTAGCTTTTTTCCAAGTCATTACTCCTAAATGAATAGAAACGCTAGTATCGTCGACAGAAAGTTGTATGCTACATGACTTTAATTCTGTTTCTAGAGATAGAATGAAAATAACAACAGTCCTAACACAGATCCCTGTGGTACACCAGAACAATTTTTTTGTGCGGTTGATTTAGACGAAACTTTTGAACCGAATTTCAAGGTGGGTTTGAATAAATGAAAGAGGTTTTTCAGAAAATCCATAATATACTAAGTGACATATAAATCCGGACACCCAGTTTAAATGGTTTTATTTTAATAAAATTTTGTATAAGTACTTAATGAAGCATAATAAGTAAATGATAAAAATTTTAAAATGATTGCACTGCTTTAAAGCCCTTTGACCTTTAATAATGTGTGGATGCACCTAACGCGCCTAGGCATGCTTCTGATCAGGTGGTCAATGCCCTCCTGTGGTATCACATTCCAGGCAACCACCCACTCCTCTCGAAGTGCTTCTAGAGTCTGAGGAGGACGTTGCAAATTGAGCAATCTCCTACCCATCATATCCCACACGTGCTCAATTGGGGATAAGTCGGGAGATCTTGGTGGCCATGGTAACAATGTGACATCATTATGTTGAAAGAAGTCTATTGTGACTCTTGCAACATGTGGTCGGGCATTATCTTGTTGGAAAGTTGGATCTGCCAGGGTGTCAAGATAGGGTAAAAGATGGGGTTCTAGAACTTCGTGGATATAACGCTGCGCGTTCATGTTACCTCTGATGAAGATTAAAGGTGACCTGGAACCATAAGCTATAGCACCCCAAACCATAACTCCAACAGTGTAATGAACATGTCTTTCAACAAAAAACTGTGGATTCCTCTTTTCACCACGTCGCCTTCTAACCCTGGCACGACCATCGTGCATGCCTAAACAAAATCGAGACTCGTCACTAAAGACAATACTGTTCCATTCCTGATCCCAGAGTGACCGTTGTCTGCACCACTCAAGGCGACTACGTCGGTGTTCTCGAGTTAAAGGGAGGACCCAGTGTGGCCGGTATGAAAACAAGCCAAAACTTCTCATTCGTCGGTAAACACTTCGTATGCCAATAGGTCTTCCGTGTTCTGCAAACCATTCATTTGCAATGGACCTGGTAGTGGAGAAACGGTCCCTTAAGGCCAATAATCTTAGGCGGCGATCTTCACGGTCTGTTGTTCTACGGCGGCGTCCAGTGCCCCTTGCTCTTTGCGTACGGCCTTCTCAAAGCTATGCCTGACAACACCTAACCACAGTGTCTACACTTCTTTGCACTCTAACTGCAATTGCCCGAAAAGAAAGTCCAGCTTCCCGAAGTCCCACTATACGGCCCCTATCAAACTCACTAAGTTGACGAAATCGTGCAGGTCTCCGTACTCTAGGCATCGTAACCGATCGTAAAGGATGTCAAGAACCAAAATCCGCCAACGTTGATTCTTTACTGCGGCTGAAATATTCATTTTTAGAGCGTTAGTGAATTAAAAAAAAGCAGTATAAAAACCGGAATGTCCAACTGATAAGGCTGAAAATTTTTTCACTTGTTATTTACAGTAAGATAAATACATTCACCAACTTTTATTAAAATAAAACCATTTAAACTGGGTGTTCGGATTTATATGTCACTTAGTATACGTAACTGCACTTAGACACAAGAAGTCAGTGATTATTGCATCAAATGACTTAGTAAGGTCAAGATGTATGAGAGCTACTGCTTTTTGATTATCAAGGTTATTGTTATATATATCGTATGTGAAGTCACAGAGTGCCAAGCTGTATTATGACCTAGTCGAAATCCAAATTTGGCAATACCGAACTAATAGACTAGAATTTCACAAAAGAAATTATTTAGACTGATTTTAAAACAAAATTTTAATCCTGAGAGTACATTAAAAGGTTCTTTGCCAGGAGATACAATTTTGCTGGACAACTTTAACCAACCGTTAGGGCTGAAAAAATAAGTTTCTATATTCAAGGAAACGATGGAAACTGCTTCAGAGGAATGTTATAGAGCATGAAAGTACCTTTAGTTTGCCTAATATCTTATTGTTTAATTTTAAATTTATTTTATAGCAAAAAGTGCACAACAGAACATTTTCTGGAAACTTACAATTTCCTCTAAATTCTTTGGGATCAACGACGTAGCTGCTGCAGCTGATTGGACATATGAGGTCTCAATTTGATGTTGTTTTTTAGCCTCTGCAACTCTTCTGTAGGCCACCCAAAGCAATTCTTCATATATTTTTGAATATCGTATGCGCGAAAAAG